CGGTACATAGTGGTCGGTGGAGGTAACTGGACTTTTTTCAGCTCTTTCTGGGGAATCAAATAAGGTGAACTTAGATGCTCTAACATTTGTTTAGTTGGAGCCGCTCTCATTGGGATGTAAGGTTTTATAAATGTTTTCTCTGAGGATTTTGTCGTAATTTCTCTTGACCTTTTTAAAAGTTATTAGGGTTAGTTTTTAATGACGCCTGCTGTGTTTCCACAACTTTTCCGAATTCAGAGTTTTAGTACAGTTTTGTCATCTTCCTCTCTGAGCATTTGGAGTTCTGCCTCTCACCTCTGCTCCTCTCTCACAGACAAAGCACAGCATCGTCCCTCGTCGCCTCGTCGCTCTCCTTCCCCTATTCCCTTGGTGAGACCCGGAGCCCCTCGCTGCAACCATGGTGGTGATGAAGATGAAGTTCCCCTTTGAGAAAAGGGTGAAGCTGGCCCAGGGACTGTGGCTCCTCTCCTGGAGTGCCACAGTGGCCGGGGCCATGACCTTCACCCTGGGCTGCCTCCTTAAGACGGAGCTCCGCAGACGGGCAGAGGTACTTTTTGAAATTTAAATGCCAGGATTTTAAAGCTTTGTTGATATATCCAGAGTTTTGCTATTCCTAATTTTAAATTGCTATGATTATAAACTTGTGTCATTGTAAATGGGTGTAATGGAGACTTTACAGTACATTGGATTTTGTGGACAATCTGTGTTCATACCTGTGATTGAGAAAAAAACTGATACATTTACATTTAGGGCATTAAGCAGACGCTTTTGTCCAAAGCGACTTACAATAAGTACATTTGTCACAAGAGAGAAACCACAACATATCACCATCGATGGGGTAAAAACGAAATATAGAAACAATTGTCAAGCCCTCTGAGGATCGATAACACATGAAATAGATTCTAAACTGGAAATTGTACACTAAATATTTACATCTAAGGACAGTCAACTGTAGCTGTCCTACAAACTGTCAAACTTTTAAAAAGAAAATTTGAAAATGGAATTGACTTTCTTGAGAAGATAAAGGAATGTCCTTGTGAACTGGACACAACTGTGACCCACTTTAGCTAATGAGTCATCATTTAATAAACCAGGCTCTGTCAGTCTTAATCATCCTAATCCAATGTTCTGAAGACTCTCATTATACCTTTTCAATATTATCAAAATATGTTTAAGCTTATGTTTATGTATTTCAATATTATATTGGAAATATTTGTATTGTGTTCAGCATGTGATTAAATAAATATGTGACCCTAAAACACATACTTGCACACGCACACACAAAAATACACACAGAGGATGCTACTCCTGGAGCTAACACATTTCCTGTTAAATATTATAAATACATGTTGTCTCTTTCAGTGCCGCAATCGTGAAAAGAGGAAATAAAACCTGAAAACACATTTGCACAATATATAAGAGCTCATATACCCTTGTATAATATGAAAGAGCAACAGCACATTTAAGAAAGAAGAAAACTGTGTTGACATATCTATCGGTTTATGTATATTTATTGCTCAACACACTCTGATTAAACTGAGGTGGTGTTTATTATGAGTATATGGGACAGACTGTAATTGTGATAAAAAAATGATTCATGCAAATTATCATACAGTATTACATTATGCATTGTGTGTATTTAGGACTTTTACCGTTTCTATGAAAAATACAAAAACATTTGAAAGTATTGTATGTATTTCCATGTGACTTAATTACAGGTGATGGATAACGCAGACATTCATGTTGTGCCCAACACCCTGATGATAGTTGGTCTGGCCTCCTTGGGGATCAACTACTTTGCTTCAAAGATCTGTCAAGATGCCCTGGACGCCGGACGATTCCCTCGCTGGAAGAACTTCTTGAAGCCCTACTTCGCCATCTCCTGTTTCTTCACTGTCCTCATGCTGCTAGCCGTCATCATGAGCTACGCAATGAAGGGCAGCCTGGAGTCTTCCCTGAAGGTCGGCCTGAAGAACGGCATCCGTTTCTACAAGGACACAGACACCCCGGGCCGCTGCTTCCAGAAGCAGAACATCGATCGGCTGCAGATGGAGTTTCAGTGTTGTGGAAACAGTGACTTCAGGGACTGGTTCGAGGTTCAGTGGATCAGCAACCGCTACCTGGATTTCAGCTCTAAGGAAGTGAAAGAGTAAGTAGTGGAAAATTGTTGGGAGAGAATTTCACATCGATATTCAGTAACAATACTGTGTTTACTGGTGAAAACATCTCTTATCTGATACACGTTTCCTTTGGTTAATTAGCCGCATTAAGAGCAACGTGGATGGCCGTTACTTGGTAGACGGTGTTCCATTCAGTTGCTGCAACCCCAGCTCTCCGCGGCCGTGCATCCAGTATCAGCTCACCAACAACTCGGCTCACTACAACTACGAATACCAGACGGAGGAGCTCAACATCTACCTCCGAGGTTGCAGAGAGGCCCTGGTCAAATACTATATGGGTCTGATGAACACCATTGGGGCTGGAGTGCTGTCAGTCTTTATCTTACAGGTACAGCATGAGAACAATTACAGTGGTCCCACAGTCCCACAGTGACTCCAGGCAGGGTTGGTGGTGCTAAGATGCCATAAAATGGATCTTTTATGGATTGGTAGAGCTGCAAAGAGGTTATAGATAGCATAGATATTATGGATGCCATAATATCTATGCTCGACATCTAACATTTCTCCACTTTCCTCCTTCCCAGGCTTCTGTGCTGGTGAGCTTGCGGTTCCTGCAGACCGCCATGGAGGCAGTGGCAGGGCAGGAAAACACAGAAGTTGAGACGGAAGGCTACCTGCTGGAGAAAAGCGTGAAAGACACCTTCATGGAGTACATGAACCCCGTGCTGAAGTTCTTCCTGCTCACAAACCAGGTGGAAGAGGGCACTACTGCAGAAGGAGCGACCCCCGCGGCCACGGCCTAAACCACACATGATGCACACACACATGTAAATAATTTTTACACAGAGAGGGCAAACAATGATTTAGGACTAGTATTTTTTAATATCAGATGACCATCACTGGTAAACCTTTACTATCACACTATACTTGCCCATTCATATTTCACACACTGTGTATGAATACCAGAGAAGACCCACCCGCAGAAGTTATTGTAAACATGATTTCTTCTGCTCCTTTAAAAGGATAAATCACTGAGCACATTCTTTATCTTTTATTATTTCTTATTTTCATAATAATAAACCCTTTTATTGTTACATTGGTTTCACAAATACACAAAATCCCTTCACTGTATTTGTCATTATATGCATTGCTTATTTCGTTATTACAATTATTTTCTATGTATAATCAATCAAAATCGAATCAATAAAGCAATTGTCGGCTAATCAAACAATCTCCGGGTAAATATTAATTCATAAGGCAAAGTACAAAGATGACTTTTGGTTCTACAAAAACAAGGATGTAAAGCTAAATTGTAGAGACAGGAAAATGACAGATATAATGACAGATGATTTCTGAAGGTTTGCAGATACTAATTGCCTGATGCAGGAGAGTCACCTCTTCCAACTCTTTTCTATTGTAAATAAAATACATGCATATGATATTCCATATGTCCCTCTCCCTAACCAGTGCTCTAAGGTGCAACTTTCTCCCTGCCTCTCTTCGGCCTGTGAAAAGAATAAGAATAAGAGGATTGATGTATCAGTGTCGATAATGCGATGAAAGCCATCAAGTGTGTCCTCTGTTCGCTCACCTTTGTTAAAGCTGTTAATCCTGTTTATTAATAGTCCACTCAGCCTGCTGCCCTTGCAGTTAGACACCTGTGTCAGGTGGATGTAAGATGCAGGTGCAGGCTGTTTCTGAGGCTCGTTTCATTAAGACAACTGATTTTGCCACACAAAAGAAAAGAAATGTAATTCAATTTTTCACTTTTCCCCTTATTTTTCCCCAGTGGTTCATTAGGCCTCAATAAATAAAATAATTCTGCTGTCTTTTTATTTCCAGAAACAAACAATTGGTCCTTCTCTGGAATCTATTAATAATATCAACCCATGTGAAAAGCTTTATTAAAAGCCCTTTTAAAAACAGTGATTTGGCTCACATATTTGGGTGTAGAATCACAGACAAAGGTGAAAGGGCTTCCCATGTATTCTAATTGCAAAAGAGCTGGGCTGTGTATCTTATTAAGCAAACCTAATTTTTCATGCTGATTAGTATCTCAAGATGGGACTTATAATTGCTGTTGAACGTGCCTAAATTATCAAAGCTCTGTCTTTCTGTATGTGGAAAGCCTATTTCATGAATTGTTCATCTTATCAGCTTCACACTTTGCCTGTGCATTAAGGGCCCAAAGAAGCAAAGTGTTGAATTTGAAATCCTTGTTTGATACTGATGTGTCAAGCGTAAGTCAGCACTATAACAAATGAAGCAACATCAGACCTGTGTTATATATGTTACATTATTATATGTGCCAGAAGCATGCGTTAGTTATTAGCTTTGTAAACGTCACTGTACAGTTTTTGTTGAGACTGTCAGAGAGGTGTTGATCAATGTTATTTTTTAGGCATTTTATGTTTATGCAGCAGATAAACA